GGACACCACTCCCCAGACTTGTGGTTGGCATGTAAAGTGAGGGCACAGTCTTGTGGAGGACTTGACCCTGCGCCTGTGGAGTGTGCACTCACTCTAAGTAGTCAGCGTCAGAAGTAAGAGCTGTCTATCCAGTCAGTGTTACTCCAGATCGGGGGTGAAACAGAAAAAAAACAAAAATTCGAAAGCCATTCACGCAATGTCAAATCCACCAAAATACAGCATGACCAAGTTTATCCCGGGAATGCAAAACTGACATTTGAAAAGCAAATCAATGTAATTTACTGTACTGAGAGAGTAACAAAGAAAAACCACACAAGCATCTCAGTAGATGCAGAAAACAAACTTGACAAAATCTGACACCCTTCATGATAAAAGTAAAATTTTTATGCCCTGGTCGGGTAACGCAATTGGTTAGCGCATCATCCAGATATGCCAATGCTGCGGGTTCGATCCTCAGTCAGGGCACATACAAAAATACAATCAACTAATGAATGCATAAATAAGTGGAACAACAAAGTGATCTCTCCCCCCACCAGCCCCTCACCTAAAATCAATCAATCAATAAATTTTTTTTTTCAGACAACTGGTAATAGGAGGAATCGTCTTTGGCACAAATGAAGGGCATCTACCCGCAGTTAACACCACTCAGTTCTGGGGAACAGAGATGTCCACTGTCACCACTTCCATGCAGCACATGCTGGGGAGGTCCTGGCCAGGGAAACAGGAAATAAGCCACAGAGATAAAGGGCTAAGGACCGGGAAAATAGAAGTAAAACTGTGTCTATTGGCAGGTGACATCTCTAGAAAATCCAAGGATTCTACAATAACAAAAACTCAGAACTAATAAGTGAATGTAGCAAGGTTGTAAATATAAGATCAACACACAAAAGTCCATTTATTTTCTATATATTAATAGAGAACAAATGGGAAATGAAATCAAATAGACTATTTGCCAGCATCAAAGCCAGAACATATTTAAAAATAAATTTTACAAATGACGTTAAGATCTCTACCCCAAAAACTATAAAAAACAAAACACTGAGAGAAATTAAAGACCTAACAAAATGGACAGACTATGTTCATGAATTGGAAATCTCAATATTAGTAAAATGTCATCCAACCGGGGCCGTTAGATGTAACGGCCCTAAATTGATCTATAAATTGATCTATAAATTCAATACAATTGCAAACAAAAATCACAGCAGAATTTTTGTAAAAAATGTCAAGCTGATTCTAAGATTTCCATGGAAATAGGCAAAAAGATCCAAAGTTGGTCTTCATCAAAAAGGATAAAAACAAAAGTCTTCTCTAAATCTAATCCAAAGTTAGTCATCAGAGGAATGAAGTGCAAATGAAAACACAATAATCTACCATTTCACATCCATTAGAATGTCTAAAATTAAAAAGACGAACCCTATCAAGTGATGGGAGGATGTGGATGGAGCAACTGAAAAGTGGAGAATGCACCACAGTACAAACCTTTGGAAAACAGAGTCCTGGTTTCTTTATCAGATATTTTTATTTTAAGAGAGGGAGAGAGAGAAACATTAATGATGAGAGAATCATTGCTCGGCCGCCTCCTGCACATCCCCTACTGGGGGTTAAGCCCGCAACCTGGACATGTGCCCTTGACTGGAATCGAACCTGGTACCCTTCAGTCCTCAGGCCAATGCTCTATCCACTGAGCCAAACCTACTAGGGCAGTCTTGGTTTCTTTAAAACTTAAACACATGCCTACAAACAACTCAGCCATTGCTCTCTCAGCTATTTGTCCAAGGGAAATAAAAATATATGTTCCCCAAGAGACTTGCACATAAATATTCATAGCTGCTTTATTCACGGTAGCCAACAGCCATAAACATCCCAAATGTTCAACAAACAAATGGATAATAACACAGTGTAGCACCTTCATACAACAGAGCACTGTCAGCAGTAAAAAATAATTCACTCCTGCCCAGCCATAGAAGACAGAGAACCATAATACTCCTGGTGGAGTCAGGAGTCAGAAAAGTGATTCAGAGACAACCCCCAGGGGCTGGCATTCACTTGCTGATCCATTCTTGCCATGAATATTAGTGACTACTCCTACGGGGTCAGGCACTGCCTTGGGAGAGACCAAGACCTGGTCCTTACCGAGCACATGTTCTCGAAGAAGACATCATCAATAAACAGGGTCATTATAGACTGACAAGTTCTTTCTTATTATGCAAGAAAGTCCACAATAATTTGTGACTCGGAGTCAATAACAAGGTGGCAAAAACCTACTAGTGCAGAGTGACCAGGGAAGGCTTCGCTGAAGAAGGGATATCTGAGTTGTGTCATGGACCAAAGGGCAGATGGAAGAACCCTGGCGGACAAAAGAGAGAGGGCAAAGGTCCTCAGGCAAGAAGGAGGAAATGTGTCTGAGGAAATGAAAGGCAACCAGTGTGACCGGTGCTTAGCAAGCAAAGAGAGTGGGATGGGGTGGGTTGCAGTGTTGGGTGGGGGCACGAAGGGCTCTGGGCAACCATCTAAGACAACAGGAAGTCACGGAAGGATTTCCAGCAGGCAAGTGACAGGGTCTGCCACCAGGAGGAAGGGTTAGAGCAGGGGTGGGCAAACTTTTTGACTCGAGGGCCACAATGGGCTCTTAAACTGGACCGGAGGGCCGGAACAAAAGCATGGATGGAGTGTTTGTGTGAACTAATATAAATTCAAAGTAAACATCGTTACATAAAAGGGTACCGTTGCCCCTGGCTGGGTTAGAGTGAGGACCAGTGAAGCAATGAGACCAGCTTGGAAGCTCCTGCAGTGGAGCTGGCAAGGGCTGGTGGTGACAGGACCAGGACACTGCAGCAGGGACAATGAAAAGACCATTTTGGATGTACCTTAGAAGCAACACTGATGGAACTTGCTGATGCATTCACGTGAAAAATGAGAAAAAGGAAGGACTGGCAAATGGTGGCATCACTTACTAAGGTGAGAAATTCGGGGCGGAACAAATCTGGGGAGAGATCAAGAATTTCATTTTAAGATGCGTACCTAGCCAGCAAGTGGACATGCCAAGGAGACAGTTGGCTACATGAGCTTGGAGCTCAGGAAAGAGGCCTGGGCTGCAGAAGCAAAGTCTGAGGTCCCCATCACCGGGATGGTGCTAAAGACAGGGGCCCGGGAACATCTCTCAGAGGGCACAGAAGTGGGCCCGGGACTGAGCGCCGGGGCGCCACACTTTCAGAAATCCTGCCACAGGCACAGACGGAGCAGTGAGGTGCGATGAAGCACCCACCAAATTCTCAGGGCCTGGAACACCCTCTGCACACAGAAGTCCCAAATGCACGAAGAAAGGAAGGATTAGGGGCCGGCCGGGGGGTTCAGAATGAGTCACCCCAAAGTGTGCTTTTGGGTATGCATATTGTTCTCAGCTAAAGGCAACTTTAGCAGTGGTGGGATCAAAAGAAGCTTCTGCCCCTCCCTTCACTACCTAGAAAACCTGACTTAGGTGCCTTGCCCATAAGAAGAGCGGATCAGAGACCACCTCTTCTGACCTATCTATATGCCAGGACAAACTCTCTTTCCTGAACATGCGTTGTCCCTGCAATGGCCCTTTGAAACCCTGAGGCACCTCACCTAGTCCCTGTTCGGGATGTCTATATACCTGTGTTCCCTTTCTGTCTCAGTACCTCCTGCATGTGGCGTCTCTGACTCTCATGCATGCCGGTTCCCATATGTATGTATTAAACTTGGTCATTTTCTTTTGCTAACGGGCGTCATGATTATTTGGTTATTAGACCAGATTATTATTGAGGACAGAGGAAAGGTTCTCCTCCCCTCCCCACAAGCAGGGCCCCCTGACCCCATGTTGCTGAAAGACGCAATGGGAGGAGCAGAGAGGAGCCCGCTGGCTTTCACGGCAAAGGAACACCAAAGGCGCTGACTCTAGTCTAGAACATGGTCAGAGCCACTGGAACAAAATCAGGCACTTCCATTCAGATGGAAATCAAGGTGACGCCTGACCGCCAATCAGCCACAATCCCACGATGACTCACTCTGCCCACAACAACCCCCATGCCCAGGGAGAAGCAAAGCCTGAGGTCACCATCACACAGATGATGCTAAAGCCAGGGACTGTCAAACCTCACTGAGTCTTCCCATCAGCGGTTCCTGAAGTGCCAGACCTGCCGTCCAGCGAGGCCACAGCTGCCGTGGGAGGCGTGAGCCGGCTCCACTGCCCCGCCTGGGGCATTCGCCAGCTTCCCCACCTGAACCACGGACACCCTCACAGTGCACTCAGCCACTTCTCACCCCTGACCTGGGAACTCTCCCCCCAGGACTCCTGCCTGCCTCCCCATCTACTGCCCCCTGGCTGCCACACCAGTCTTCCTCCTCCTGGTGCACAGCAGTGCTCAGCAAACGTGTGCTCCCTCCCACTACTAGAGAGGAAACAAAGAAATCGGCACAGACTCACCAGGGACAGTCAGCACAGACGGGGATCTTTCTGGCTGTTCACTCACACGGCTGCTGTTTTGAAACCAGACAATGCCGACGGGCTCCGGCGGGCCCACAGCCTGACAGGTGAGGTTGAAGGCGGTGTTTCTGGTGACGTTCATGCTCTCGGGCTCCCTGGTGAAGTAAGGAAGTCCTGCCAAGGAAGAGTTAAGGGAAGGAATGTTTCAAACCCACAAGCAAAGCCACAGCCTGAGGGGAATGGCAACTACTAGACCTTGGTCACAGGAGATGGCTTTCTACGCCATCTCAGGTCAGAAAGGCCAGGTCTCCCCTGAAAGCCGGGTGAGAAAGAGGACAGGCTGATCTCCAGTCCGGCTCCCGCTCACTGGGGCAGGCTGGCAGGTTTTCCGTCTTCCTCACCCAAATAAACAGTAAAAGCCACGCCACGAAAACAGGTCTGCCTGCTTTCCAGGACCAGCGCCTGTGTGTGAGGCTTTGAGATGGGTGACAGGAACTTTAAAACCTGTGCATGAGCCTAGGGCTAAACGCAGCCTCAGAAAACCACTGTAGACACAGTTACAGTCACGGCCAAGCTCTCCAACCGTTGTTCCAGGATCAAGGCCATGAGGAAGGGCACTCAGGAATGTCCCAGAGGAACCCAGATAGCTCACTTATTTGGGGCGAGTGCCCAAAACTTATCAGCTGAAGCTAACTATCCTCACACATTCACACTGTGTTCTTCTGGGGCTGCCAACTCGCAGAACGGGTCCCTACCGGAATGATGTGGGAGTGGTAAATGCAAAACATTTTTTTCCTGCTTCAGTTTTGTAAAACTCCATTAGGACCTAATGGGTCCCTGCTCTGTGCATTTTTTGCCTGAGATTCTGACAAGTAAAATGTCCTCTGAATATTTTTCCCAGATAAATTTTTCCCAGATGTAGGACCCCTCCCCTCACACACACCCATGTGGAGGTCCCGCCCCCAATTCATGCTGACACATACTAGCTTGTCCAGTCTGGGATGGAGCCGAGAACAAAACTATAAAAGAGACTCCCAAGGGCCTGCCTCCCAGAGGCCACCTGCAGCATTAATGGGCACCAGGCTCCTGTTTGCAAAAGAATGGGTAGCAGAGGAGCCTTTTAGAGGAAGATGTTTCCAGTTGAAAGTCCCTAGAAAGCTAATCACCTGCTCTACAGCCTGTGATGAGGAGGGTCAGGAGAAAGTAGGAAAGAAAGGTGCTCTGATGGTCTGCTCACCGGAACCTCAGAGAACTAGGCGAGGATGCAGGGATCTCAGAGGGCAGCACCTGGTGGGTGGGGAGCGACCAATGGGGTGGTGACAATAAAGATGCTTCCTCCTTGAAGCCTTCCTTGCCAGGCCCTGCCACTGCGGAACCAGGCATGCAAACCCGGAGACCCAGGGACTGGGCTCACCTGGCCTGGCTCACTTGTGCATCAGCTCATACTCCCCACTGGAGTTCAAGTGCCTCCAGGGTAGAGAGACTGCTTTCTCCTCATCTCATGTCTCACTCCCACTGAACCCATCTCATGCCTTGTCATGTCACAGAACTGCACTGAACCAACACCTGACAAACCCGAGGGCCCTGAAAGGAGTCCCAGACCGAGCTGCTGACCCTTCTAGGAAACCCCCTCCTCAACCGCCCCCCCTCCCCGCCCCGGTCTCACCACCCACAGACTCAAGACAAGAAAAGATGCTGAGTAACAAGCAAATTGCCACCTGGCCAGGGAGTGGTACCTGGTGCCAATACTGAGAGCCGGGTAATGGAATGCATTTGCTTCCTAAAAAGAAAGTCATCTCCTTTTAAAATTGTAAATAACGTCAGGACAAGGAATCATACAATCTCAGTGCTTATGGGTCTGCAAGGTTTGCACAGTTATAAATGGGCCTGCCAAGCTGCAGTGTTAGGTGCAAAGCAGTCAATACTGGCCGCTCTGTGGCCTCCGCACTTACCTTGTACCTCGACGTAGATGGGGTCAGACACGATCTCTTCGCTGTTTATGTTCGTCTTACAGGTGTACGCCCCGCTGTCTGACCGCTGCACCCTCATTATGCTTCAGAGAAAACACAGGAAGATATGCACGGTAACTACCCTTTGAGCTTCTACTACAGAAACAGAACATTCTTCAACTTCTCTGTCAGATGCTGTGATATTAATCTCACATATCGACATGGCTAGGTCGCGGTGCCCAGATATTTGGTCTAACATCATTTTAGCTGTTTCTGGGAAGGTATTTTTCTGATGAGATTAAATTTAAATCAGCAGACTCCGGCTACAGCAGATGACCCTCCACAATGAGGGTGGGCCTCATCCAGTCCGTTGAAGGCCTGTGAGCAAAGTCTGAGGTCGCCTGAGGAAGAGGAATTCTGCCTCCAAACTGCCTTGGGACCCAAGACTGCACAGTCAGCACCTACAGCCACACTGGCCAAGTCTTTAAAACAAATTACTCTGTGCTGCTCCTTGTCTTCACTTCCATGGTAACCTCTATATTGGAGTGCAAATTTGTAAGTTTGTTTTGGGTGGTCACCAAAACTAGGGGGCCTCATGGCCTTTAGGGGCCAGAAGCGACTGTTCCATATCCCAAATGACCTTCTGAGACCGGAACCCATTCCATTTTACACACACACATGTATTTTGTCTGGTTTTAACACCCACCTCATTTCCCAGGACTGTAATTACCATGAAAATGGGGGGCGGGTGGGTGGTGGCTGGTGAGAGAGCAGCAATGGCCCTGGCCTGACTGGAACTTTGCACCATTTGGAAAAGGGATCACTGACATCCAGGCTGCATCTGCAACTGCCATGTGGGGGGTGGGCAGTCGGGGGAGACAGGGTGCAAGTCTCTGCAGACCTGGTGTGGCCATGCTCCACTTAACAAGTTCACATTCATGTTCTTTTATTATAAATCACCTTTCTTTTGTTCTTGTATTACATTTGGACAATATGTTCTAAAATCTCTGACATTAAAGAGGTGGCCTTGGCTCTAAGAGACTGAGGGTCCTGCTTTCCACCTTCCCAGCGTGTTTACAAACAGGAACTACTCAGCATACATGACACCTGCACTGGGCCGGGTAGGAAGGGTGAGGGGAGGAGGGACACCTGCAGAGGGGTCTCTATTGGCCCAAAGACACTGATCTCTCCGCTCCTCAGACACAGCAAAGACGTGACTGGGGAAAAGAGAAAACCATGGAGGGGTCCAAGTGCCCAGCAGCCTGCACCCCAATACAAATTATTTATTCAAAGCAAAATAAAACCCATCCCTCAGCCTGTCAAAGGCCGAGGTTTAAAGCTCAGAAGAGAAAGGGGGGCAGGCAAGGGCAAAGGGGGCCCCCACCGACCTAGGCAATGATTAGCAGCCACCTAGGGGTAACAGTACCATCAAGGCCTTGAGGAGCCACAGTCTCCTTGGGTCAGAACACACACTGGACATTTTAAATTTAACTTCTCACCCAAGCTGGTCTGATTCAGTGGATAGAACCTTGGCCTGTGGACTGAAGGGTCCTGGGTATGATTCCAGTCAAGGTCATGTACCTCGGTTGCAGGCTCCTCCCTGGCCCAGACCCGGGCCCTGGTTGGGGTGCATGCAGGAGGTAGCCAATCGATGTGTTTCTCTCACATTGATATTTCTCTCTGTTTCCCTCTCTCTAAAAATCAGTAGAAAAATATCCTCAGGTGAGAAGATATATATATATATATATCTTCTCTCCAACAAAATCATTTTGTAAATCCTATTAGCTTATGCTAAACAGAGCAACTCAACTCCATGTCAAGAGTGGCGTCAGTCAGAATTGGGGACCCAGGAGTATGACTGTCACCTGTCAGCGCATTTCCTGATGTGGCAATCTGAGTGGCACCCCACTGACTTAGGTGTGCTCTCTTCCCCTTTCCCCTCACTGCTGTGTAGGAGAACATTAAATCTGGGACACATCTGATGAGTGAACATTGGATCTGGGAGGACCCAGGATTAAGTAAAGACTAGATCTCTCCATGTTTGGGGGCAGGAGCTGAATGTCACAAGAAAAGACAGAAAGACCTCACAGGACAAATATCTCCAAATAAGGGACTGATGCTCCCCTGATCATCTGTCATGGTGACAGAAAGGGGCTGAAGAAAGAGGGAGAGAAGTGTGTGTCTGGAGTGGCGTGCTGCCCATTGTGAGTCATAACGAGTGGTTGAATGTGCACAGTAGTTTCAGCGGCTCCTGAGACCTCTAGTCAGTCTAGTGCATTTTCAAGGGAAGCTAAGGTCACAGCTACTGCAGAGAAGTCCTTGCCAGAGAGTTCACAAGTTCACTTTAAAAGAGGTGTCACTTTTTTCAGGCAAAGCCTGGGATTCTACAAGTGAATGACAAGATCTGACAGGCTGAGAACACCCGTGCCTATGAGACCTGGCTCTGGGCCTGGGACCGCAGCACTGCAGCAGCAGGCTTGCCAGATGACTCAGGGAGTCGGCAACCAGGGAGAAAGTGACAAGCAGAGAGGGATGCAGGGCAGGGCCCTAGAGAGCAGCTGAAGGCAGAAGTGGAGCACACCTGTTCAGAGGCACAGGGAGCCCCAGAAACCACCAGGCACAAATAACATGTTAGCATCACACCCTGGCTGCAAAAGTCCAGGAGTACCTTCAGCCGACCAGTGAGGAAAATACAGGCCAGGACTAGAAAAAGGGGCAGAAGGAACATGATCCAAACTCTGTCTTCAGCCATTTGTGGATGAAGCAAAAAAAAAGGAGGGGGGGGGTCCTATATATTAGGATGGAAGAAAAGGCCTTTCTTTGCTGTAGCCTTCCACAATTTATGGGAAGCACCTGGCAATTAAACCCCAAGACTGTTGGCTCCTCTGAGTCCAACAGCCCCTCTGTTCAAACTGAGGGACAAGATAAGCTACTTTCAAGGCTACATTCTTGCATACCCCTCCTCCCTGCTGGTATACAACCCAGGGATAATTAGTAGAAAGTTCCCTTCCCCCTCCTCTTCAAACAAGCCTTTTTTTGAACTCTTCATAACTTTTGCTCTAAGAATGTTTTACAGGCTTTAGAAAAGTACTGATAAGACACCTCTCTAGGACAGCTGCCCGGATTGTCTCCTGAAGAACTAATAAAGTCCACCCCTCTGATGTATGCTCAATTTCACCTAGCAACAGCAGCAGCCCGAAAATCCCCCTCCCTTCCTGTCCCAGGCTTTAACAGGTGGGGGCAGCTTCTGTTCCTTGACCTTGCATTGATTAGCAATGTACTGGCCCTTTCCCTTTGGGGAAAGTAAAATAAACTATCTATCTCTTTTCTCAGTTGAGAATTCTTTCACAGCTCACATCACCTGCCCCAAACCTAACACTATGGAAAGTAACCTTACAGGATGTTCTGATTCTAAATTCCTACTAACTGGCAGGTCATGGTGGGTAGTCTTGCCCCAGGCATATAAGGTTTTTTGTAAAAGCTTTATCTTTGTCTTAAGAAAGCCATGTCTATTGTTTCTGTGCATCTGGGTTATCACACCTTTGAAATAAGCTGTAACTGTCCTTAAGGGAACACATAATCTTGTTAATTATCCTGTAATCCAATCACTGCCTTGTTTCTCCCACCTCACCCCGCCTTCATGTAATCTTTCTTCTGTTCCCTCCTTAATTTCAAATGCCTAAAAAAATAGGACTCACTCGTTCTGTGCTCCAGTGTTGGGGCAGCAGGGCCATAGAGGGAAGAACTGAATGTCTGGCATCCGTGTGAGAGCTGAAGAGGCAGCTTTCTCCCAGACAGAAGTGCTGGCAGAGGCAACTGCTCCTTTTCTGGACTCTCCCTCACAAAGCCAGCAGGTGGGAGCCATATCTGAGTCTCCATCAGCCTGGTCAACCCTGCTCTCCCCGACCCTGGTGATTCCCTGAGGCGCCGTCCCACCCAACGTGGGGCCCACCTAAGCCACTTCCAATGGTTTCCCATACAAACGGCCTCTCCTGGATCATGATTTGGATTTTCCTATTTTCCTAAAATCTTTCAAACAAGTAGCATCTGTCCTCTGGGGATCCTATATGTCTTGCTAAGTGGCCCCAGGCCCAAAACTAGAGGCAGGCAGCAGCAGTGTGCAGCTTGGCTTCTCCTGGACACCTCTAAGCCCAGCACATGTAGCCACCATCTTCAGGCAGCTTTGTAGCTTTTGCCAGGTGGCCCTGGCCAGGGCACAGGCAGTGGCTGACCTTGGCCTGCAACTCCTGGGAGGCCCCAGAGCCAGTGCACCCAGTAGACAGCTTCAGGTCACACTGGATTACAACCCAACCACCTTCACAAGTGACTCACTCAAGGGGTGGGCTTGGTTGGCACCAAAGCCCCAATGAAGTTAAGTTTTGCTCTGTTGAGGTTAGCTGCTGTACAGTAGCTCTTCCGCTATTGTCCCAACTGATCCTCCCAGCCAATAGGCCTGGGGGGAGGTCAATCCTTCTCAGTGAGGTGCCAACAGTAAGCAAGGCTCAACTACAACAGAAGGGTGCACAGAGCTAGCATAGGGTAAGGGGGAGGGGGACACCTGGAGCCCCTGGCTGGCCGATAGGTCCTACAGAACACCTGTTACATAAAGCCACTCTACTAAGACCAGGAAACCTAGCAGCTCTACCTACTGCACAGAAACAAACACAGAGAAGCAGCCAAAATGAGGAGACAAAGAAACAGGTCCCAAATAAAAGAACAGGAGAAATATCCAGAAAAGGAAATAAATGCAATGGAGACAAGGCAAACAAACTAACAAATACAGAATTCAAAATAATGTTTATAAGGGAGCTCAAGGAACTTAGTGAGACCTTCAATAACATAAAACAAACAAACACATGTGGAAACCATAAAAATGAACCAATCAGAAATGAAGAAGAAAAAGATAAATAATGTGAATAATAAAATGGCAATAACAATTACCTTAAATGAAAATGGATGAAATGCTCCAATCAAAAGACATACAGTGACTGAATGGATAAGAAAATAAGACCCTTACATATGCTGTCTACAAGAGACTCACTTCAGATCAAAAGACACACACAGACTAAAAGTAAATGTATGGAAAAAGATATTCTAGGAAAACGAAATCGAACAAACAACAAGTTGAGGTAGCAACAAGTCTGGTACTCATACCAGACAAAATAGACTTTAAAACAAAGGCTATATAACAAGAGACAAAGAAGGACCCTGCAATTTCACTTTTGGGTATTTATCCGAAGAAACCCAAAACACTAAATCAAAAAGTCATATGGTCCTAGCTGGTTTTGCTCAGTGGATAGAGAGTCAGCCTGTGGACTGAAAGGTCATGGTTTCGATTCTGGTCAAGGATATTCTGCATGCCTAGGTTGCAGGCTCGATCCACAGGGAGGGGTGTGCAGAAGGCAGCTGATTAATGATTCTTTCTCATCGTTGATGTTTCTATCTTTCTCTTCTTCGCCCTTCTTCTCTCAAATCAATAAAAAAAAAATATTTTTTAAAAAAGGCCATATGCACCCCTCTGCTCACTGCAGCATTATTTACAATGGAACCTAAGTGTCCATTAATAGATGAATGAGCTCTAGCCGGGTTGACTCAGTGGATAGAACATGGGCCTGCGGACCAAAGGGTCCCGGGTGGATTCCAGTAAAGGGCACATATCTTGGTTGCAGGCTCCTCGCTGGCCTAGGCCCTGGTTGGGGTTCATGCAGGAAGCAACCAATCGATGCGTTTCTCTCACATCAATATTTCTCTCTGACTCTCCCTTTCTCTTCTACTCTCCCTAAAAATCAATGGAAAAATATCCTCAGTGAAATCTTGCCATTTGCAACAGCATGGAATAGAGATGTGGTGTATATATAAACAATGGAATATGATTCAGCCATTAAAAAAAAAAGAAATCTTGCCATTTGCAACAGCATGGATGGACATAGAGGGTATTGTACTGAGCGAAATAAGTCAGACAAAATAAAAATACCATATTTTATTTATATGTGGCATCTAAAAAAACAAAATAAATGAGCAAACGGAGTAAGAACAGACTCACAGATACAGAGAACATTTTGATGGTTGTCAGATGAGAAGGGAGTTGAGGGCTAGGTGAAAAGGTGAAGGAATTAAGTACAAATTGGTAGTTACAGATTAGTCATGGGGATGTAAAGTACAGCATAGAGAATATAGTCAATAATAATAACTCGGTATGCTGTCAGGTGGGTGCTAGATTTACTACGGTAATCACTTAGTAAGTTATATCATGTTTAATCACTGGGTTTTAGACCTGAAACTAATATAACATTGTTTGTAAATTGTAACTGGAAAATAAAACATTATTTAAAGTAAGAAAAATTCTCTGCAGGTTTGAATGTGTCTTGACTCGACACATTCATGTCAGGAAGAGCTTAGCAATGGTCTGGGGAGAAGGGCTGTGTGCTAGCATTAATCATTAGCAAGTCCACGTCCATTGTATCTATAGCACAGGACAGATTTTTCATAAATAATCCTCTGCTACTTTAGACAACCCAGGAAAGGTCCCCATGCCGAAGGCAGGGTAGGGCGGGCTGGAGACAGGAAGGAGTGGTATCCCGAGGCCCGCCCTGTCCCCAGCAGAAACAGCAGGCCCAGTCTCCATGCAGGCTCAACGGGAAAGGCTCTGAGCTCAGAACAGCAATCTAAGCATTCCGACAACTGAGGAACAGTTCCAGAGAAAGTGCAGATTCAAGAAAATGTCCAGCTCTGGAGATACGGGTCTTCCCTCACCAGACCCCATGGTGGGCAGCACAGTGGGAGAGGAAAGACCCAATCAGGGGCTTCACCAGGAATATCATGACTCTGAGATCAGGTGGAGACCCCAAAGCTTGAGAAGGAAGAAGAGCAGATCATTCATACGTGAATCAGATTAGCACTGGACTCTGCAAGAACAAATCTGGGAGTGAAAAGGCAGGAGTACATACATCAATGACTTTCAATTACTTTCCTTTTGAATTCTGCATTAGGCCAAACTACTTCAAGGTCAGGGTAGGGAAAACACGGCATTCTCAGAGATGCAGGTCCCAGGAGGCTAGTGGAGGATGGGCTTAATGCCAAGTGAGGGAGTGAAAGCCAAGCAGGGGCCTGGGCTCCTGGGAGCAGGGGCTGGGAGTCAGAGGAGTGAGGGTCCCCACAAGGAACACAAAAATGGCTCAACTGGACCCCAGACCAGAGCAGGAGAGGGGATGGCTCTAGGACAGGCGTCGCCAAGCAAGAAGTCAGAGCTGATAATCTTTTCACTTTCCAAAGAAATGCCTGCCTTCCGGTAGAGCTTCGAGAAGAATGCGTGATTAACACTTAGAAAATTAAACAAACAGGCAAGGAAACAATATTAATTTCAGGAAAACAAAAAATGCTAAGATAAACGTGATTACCGTCTATGACATGATTCAGCTGAAAATAGCATTTATGTGGCCCCAATTATGTGAGCTGTGGGTACTGATTCACCCCAGCTGTAACACTATTAGATTAACATACATAAGGGGACCTGGCACACACACAACCCAAGCACCGAATGTCTCTGGAAAGATACGCAAGAAATGGGTGACTCAGGCACCCACTGGCAGACATTTGGGGACTGGAATGGGAGAGAGAAATTTTAAAGAGTTGAAATATTCTATGACATGTATTCCCTGCTTTAAAAAAGGTATAAAAGTCCCATGAGATTTCGGTCAAGTAGAAACTTCTGAACCAGGTAGAACCACAGGACCCATACCGGTTGACCGTGGCGTCTAGACAGGAATCACCTGGGCAGACCACAGGGCCAGCAGCTGCAGAGCCCATCACACCAGAGCAGCCTCACCTAGGCTGGCCCCAGGACAACATCCTAAAGGGACACACAGTGCCCCTCTGTCCCTGGGATCTGCCCAACAGAGCCGACTGCTCAGAAATAGCTCATACATAGCAGCTGAGCTCTGGGGTCTCTTCAAAGAAATACATATGTTGTTCGTTTACACTTATATGAGGCCCCTAGAATAGAGAAATAGAAAATGAACATAGAATAGAGGTTACCAGAGGCTGGGGAGTTAGATTTTCATGGGCAAAGAGTTTCTGTTTAGAAATGATGGTGGTGATGGCTACATCACAATGTGAATGTACTTAATGCCAATGATGTATACACCCAAAAAGGGCTAAAATGGTCACTTTTATTTGTGTACATGTTACCATGATAATAAAAATGAAAAAAAAAGTAAATAACACAACGACGCACTGGTAGGTGTCCTGTTTGTACCTGTCACAGATCAAATGGTGCAGGTGGCATGCCATGGGTCACCCGTGTGCAGTCTTGTATATACTGAGCTGAAGGAAGTCTGATTATGAAGCACGTCACAGAGTGTCAGGGATCTGGGCCTAATAATAACGTTTCCAGTTGATGGTTTGACTTAAGGGATTATGTCCTTATTTTCTATATGTTTTGCTGCTCTCCCATGTACAGTTCCATGCCAGGGCCACCAGAAGCAGCAGGAGTGAGGGCCCCACAGGGCAGCTGTGAGCAGGGGGTTATCAAACACCAGCTGCTCAGGGCCCAAGGAACCCACAGGGATACAAACTGACCTTTACATCTTCTCACACAAAAATCCACTAAGAAAGCAAAGTCCTCCAGCTTTAGCGATGGGAACCACCACAAGTCCCTCGACTGCACAGAAAACCAACCACAAAAACGTTTCCTTCGCCACAAATCGCAGGTCACTAGGTCTGCGGGGCCTCCCGGCCACAGGAGCACCAGCTCCAGTTTTGCTGAGAGCTGCCTCCCAGTCCCTGGCCCTGAGGGCCCGTGGCCCCCTGGGATGCTTTGCCTGGGGTGGGGGGAGCAGTGGGAGGGCTGTCACCCCTACACCAGACCTGAGAGCTAACTACACTCCAGTGGGGCTACAATCCATTGGAAAGAGACCCACCATGCAGACTGTCGGGTATTAATCTACACTCTGAATGCACCTGTGGAGCCGCACAGGCAGAAAATAAGACTGTTTTGTATTGAGGAGGCACTAGCGTACCATTTACATAGAAAGAGGGAGACCACCTACCTGAAGGACGCGATCACTGCTGTAACTTCATCGTCGGGGTAGAAGTGCGTAACCGCATGATGTGCCCCAAGCAGTTCCTTCCCATCTTTCCACCAAGAAATATGGGTGTCCTGGTACGTGTTAGGTATGCTGATGGAGCAATTGAACTTGACGTCATTGTGTTCAGATGGCTTTATGTGGCCAACTGTGTGATTAAATGCAAGAGGCGGCAGGCGCTTGGACCTGGCCAACGGCACGCTGGGAAGGGCTGCATTTCCTCTGCGGAGTCTTCGGGGCGGGGTTGGTGACACCACCACCAAGGGCTGGGCCCCAAGGGAGAGAGGAGAGGAGGATGGCACAAGGTCAGCCAGGCCGATGGGGAAGGGCAGGCGGGGCGTGGCTTCTTCCCTCACCTCAGCGAGAGCTGCAAAACAGAACAGTGATGTTAAGCCTTTTAAAAACTGGTGTTGCCCAACTGGTGTTGACCACTGTTGTACAGTGGTCGGCACACTCATTAGTCAACAGAGCCAATATCAACAGTACAACGACTGAAATTTCTTTTGACAGCCAAATTTTTTAAACTTAAGCTATATAGGTAGGTACATTGTTATTAACTTAATTAGGGTACTCCTAAGGCTTAGGAAGAGCCACACTCAAGGGGCCAAAGAGCCACATGTGGCTCATGAGCCGCAGTTTGCCGACCATGGCCTAGCTGGTTTGGCTCAATGGATAAAACGTTGGCCTGCGGACTGAAGGGTCCTGGGTTCGATTCGGGTCAAGGGCACATGCACAGGTTGCGGGCTCGATCCTCAGTTGGGGGGACATACAGGAGGCAGCTGATCAATGATTCTCTCGCATCATGGATGTTTCTATTTCTCTCTTCCTCTCCCTTCCTCTCTGAAATCAACAAAAATATATTAAGAAGACAAAATGTCAGGGTAACTTGTAACTTCCCTTTTTTTCAGACCCCTCAGGGCACAACCAAATGCCCTGGGCTCCAGGACAGAGACCACAAATTCCTTCATTGTTATTGTCATTATGTTCATTGTTGACTACTAACTATCCTGTACCCACCTAAGTAAAAGAAGTGTGTGTCTATAATTTTACTCTTTATACAATCCCAGAGGTTTCCCCCGCTTTGCTTTCTCCCGCCTCTCCAATCTATCACCAGTGGATTTCATGTCACCCACCTACGTCCCCTCCTTTGATTCTTATGTATAAAAATAGATGAAAACCCGCCATTCTTGGGAGCATTATCCCAATCTGTTGAGATTTTGCTTCCTGGCAATTGTTGACAGTTTGGCTCAAATAAACTCACAAAAATTCTTTACAGTTTTGAAGGTTTTTACGCTAATGTTACGCAATATACTCCCCCCAGGGGGGTACGAGAAACTGTCCTCTACCCTCAAGGTTCTTCTGGCTGGACTAATAATCAAATAGACACGAGGCAAATTAATGACACAATCACCAAATTTAACACATACATATGTATGGGACTCGCATACATGAGAGTCAGAGACCCCACACGCACGAGGTTCAGAAACAGAAGGGAACATGGGTATGTGAGGCCTCCTGAGCTAGGGATGAGGTGAGGTGCCTTGGGGGCTTCAAAGGGTCACTGCAGGGCGATAGAAGAGCACATGTTCAGTAAATAGAAGTCTGTCCTGCCCTAGAGACAGGTTACAAAAGGCTATGGCTGATCACTTCTTACTACGGGCAAGGCCCTAATTCAAGTTCTTCTAGGTCGTATAGGGAGGGGCAGAAGTTTCCCTGGAGCCTAGAGGGGGCTAAAGTTGCCTTTAGCTCAAAACAATCTACATACCACAGAGGCGCATCTTGGAGTGCCTCCTCCTGATCCGCACACCCCCAATGAAAAAGATCTGTTGTGACTCACTCCAAGTCCTTCATACCCAACTCAACAGGATGGCGGGAAGGGCACGGCCCCGGAGATCACTGTCTATCTGCCCAGTCACAAGAGTGTCCCACAGATCTGGCCGACAGCCTTGGGAGGCTGCTACTGGTCAGAGACCTATCCCTGGGTGAGGGGGTGGTGATCAAAGTGTGCTCAGGCCACCAGCTACAGAATGACTTGGAGCTTCTAGCAAAATGCTTGCCAGCTGGAATGGATCTAGAAAAGTTTTCATTTCATCTGGCTCAAAAGTATTTCTAAAAATATAGGCTCACAATAGTTGCACTTTTAGCTTTTTTAATGGCATTTTTGGAGCATATGTTCTGTGCTGGTTGCTATGTATTCAAACGTGTTTACCACGATTCTAGTGAAACAGGCAGTGGGGAGAGACGCAGGCCTGACATTCTGTGGGTAGTCACTGGGGGTTTACCAAGGGCCCCATCCCTGTTCAAGGGCTGTACCTCCTGTCACACTCAGGATGTCTCACCCCCTGGGCTCCTGAGTGCGGGTGTGCAGAGTAGGGTGGTCGCTGCTAGGGCTGTGCCAAATTCAGTGAATAAATGAATAAGAATGCACGACACCAGACTTGACTTTGGGTGCTGAACACACGATACAATATACAGATGATGTATTACAGAATTGTACACTTGAAACCTCCATAATTTCATTAACTAATGTTACCCACACATTCAATAAAAATTAAAAAACAAAAAAGAACAAGAAAATAAAATGATTTAAAGAAAGAATGCACAGCAACAACTAGAACTTGTAATTCACATCAATAGCAAATAATTTTTAGCCTAAGTATCCAGCTAATAAAGAAAAAAAAAGTACCCAGCTAAGCACTTGTTTGGCTAATGGAGCTACTGCAAGCAGGAGATCCGAGGGCAGAAGGAGGCCCCTGAGAATGTATTCCTCTGCCCCCTCCCTGCCAAGTCCCTCAGGACTGCACTCACGCCTCGACTGAAGGCCACAGCTCTGGTCACTGAGCCCTGACCGCACGCCTTTCTCCCACACCAGGTGCTCTCTCCGCCCCAGGGAGAATACCAGGGTGGAGGAGAAGAGGTTTCACTGGAAAGAACCGGAACACTTGCTGCTGGTCCCCACACGGAGGTCTCGGGGGGGCAGGGCCCTCTGCATGCGTGGTGGGGGGCACTAGGGGTCAGCTGGAGCAGTCAGCCACATAGATGAGTGTGCTGGGGCTGCAGTGTCCATTTACTCCAGAGAGAGGAGGTCAGGGTGACTGGACCGCCAGGCACCTCTGCTACTGTGGCCTGTGCTCTCAGTAGCAGAAGGCAAAGCCCAGGGCCTGGATCCCCCCAGCCGCCGTCTTTCTCTGGTTGGAGGTGCTTTCTGCAGTAGTGAATGCTCCTGCCTGAGTCACGTGCACTCTATTCTACAGTCCTCGAAGCCCTCCCAGCCCACCTCTGCCTCTTCCATTGGCAAACCTATGTTTGTCAATTCACTGAGTTCCAGGGCCCTAGGGAGCTGGGCTTTCTCCAAATCCCTATTTTTTTAAATTTTTCTTTAAATATATGTCCCTTTTATAGAAGGCAAAAAGTAGAGCGAGGAAAGCTAATGATACTTTCTTTGATTTAATTTATTCGAAAACATTTGACCTTTCTAATTATAAAGGTAACACAGTGTGTTGTAAAGAATTCAAATATAGGGTATCCCCCTCCCCCCAAATGTATACACAATAGGCTAATGGACTGCAGCTAGCCTGATGCAGCCCTGGACCTGCTACATACGGAATGGAAACTTTGGACCCTGGCTCTGCTTCTAGCTTTACTGAAACCCCCATACACTTCTTCTATGACTGGACTCAGGGAAATGAGACTTTGGAAACCCACGGATACAATTCCACGCAAATAAAATCACTCATTCTGTGCGACTCTCAGAAAATTCTTTCTCTCAAGGTATCATGAGGACTCTACTCCCAGGCCCCAGTGGGAAAAACGACACCCCGCTTCGTCCAATAACAGCGGCAGGAGGACTGGAGCAGTGGTGGCCAGAGGCTGGCCAGCAGCTCCGCAGGTAGAGCCCCCAGCCCCTCACCCTGAGCCATGTCCTCAGGGGAAGAGCTTCAGCCTGTTCCCCTGCCAGGGTCCCAGTCCCTCGTGGAGGGAGAGGACGGATGTACAGGACCCCAGCGCACATGCAGGTCCCGGCCCATGTGGGAGCGAGTGCCTGGATCACCAGGGAGGTGTGTGTTAGACAAAGCACAGAGAACGGCGACACTGGAGCAGGGTAACTAACTGCCGGCCAAACCTAAGAGGGAAAAAATATGCTTCCAGCCTCGGGCCAGAGAATCCGGGCTCCGAGGAGCCTGTCTAGGGCTGGCCTCCACACCCTCTCCTGGCAGGAGTTCCCTAAGTTCCCCGAAGACTCGAATCTCAGGCCAAGGAAGGTGCAGGAAGCAGGAAGCGGCAGCTGCTGAAGGCACCGGGCCCAGAGTAGCAGGTGCCATGGCTGCGCTAAGCGGGCTCCTGGCCCTGGAGCCTGGGAAGATGGAGAGTGCCCTCGGGTGTCAGGTGCCCTCAGCCTGCTTTCCAGTCCGGTGACCGGAGTGGTGGGATGAGGGCGGGACGGAGGCGCCCGCCTATGGGGCCTCCTCATTGCTCTTTCTCAGACAGCAAGGTGGGCAGAGGCAGGAGCATAACTCTCCGAAGTTCAGCCCTAACATCAGTGGGGGAGGTCGTGGAGAGGGATGTTGAGGGGGCGCTGCAGGGGTGCGGGGTGTCTTTGAACTCCCAGGGGTTCTCTGCTTCACCATTGGAGCATATGAGCACAGAGCAGGATGGCAGATGGGGGGCGGGGGGCGGGGGCGCACTGCCCAGTGCCCCAAGCTTGCTGCCTGCCAGGCTGTGCTGTCCAGCAGCGCAGTAGAGAGGCCCCTTCTGGGGTGGATCAGTGTTTACAGAAAGGCTTGTGGCCTCTGGAATCCCATTTATGTCTACACCCCAGGCCCAGGAGACCCTGCCTGGATTGGTGCCTGCCATTTGCGTCTTGTCCCTAGGCCACTCCCCCGTCCCAGTTTGAGGACTCCTCCCCCAGCCCCTCTGGCTGAAGCCAAACCCAGAACAAACTTTATGCAAAAGCCAAGCATTCTCCACGGATAAAGAGCAGCGACAATAATGAGAGAAAACTTTCTAAAAACTTTTAACCTGAGATCACGTGACCCGAGGTGCCCAAGTGATACCTGGAGAGATGAAGCTCAGCCACCTGGAGCTCCTTAGCTGGCCTGACAGGGGCCCCGAGGTAAAGGAGTGTGGGCGACCTGTGCCTGAGGGGGCACAGCTGCCGGTGGTGGCAGGGCTGCCAGTGAGGACAGGGACAAAGCATGGTCCTGTCAGATTTCCCCCGGGAGCCCAGCAGGCCCAGGGCTGCCAGATAAAAGGAAACAGGATGCCCCAGTACACTTGCATTTCAGATCAGTTATGACTGGGTGGGATGATACACTCAGTCAAATAAATCTTAGTATCACTTTGCAAAAATAGCCCTCGGGGTTCACT